ATAGCATCTTGCCCCTCCTAACAATCTGGGTCCTCATTTGACCCACCTCGGAAGGATGGAAGGCCGAGTCAACCTTGAGCCGGTGAGATTTGATCCGCTGATCTGCTGAACTAGCAGTCAGCTGAAGTAGCTGCAGTACTGCACTCTAACCACTGCGCCACCTCGGCTCATTGGGGAGGGAATGGAGATTTTGCAGTATCCTTCCCCTGCCACGCCCACCAAGGCACGCCACACCCACAGAACTGGTAGTAAAAAAAATTTTGAAACCAACCACTACCTGGTTCCTTGCGTGTTTATAAAACAGCCAATAGAAAACTATCAAGTGTTCACAACTTTTAAGACTTGTGGACTTCAACTCCCCAGAATTCCCCAGTCAGCTGTGCTGGCTGGGGAATTCTGGGAGTTGAAGTCCAGATTTTTTTTTTAAAGTTGCTAAGGTTGAAAAAAAAAATCTGTTTTTGTTTTTTTTTTGGGTTTCCATCAATGCCACCTGCCCTGGCATTTGTGAACCAAAGACCCTCAAGAATATTTGAAGGAAGTCCAGCTGTTTGGGGACCAAGCCCTGTGTCCCCGCCCCCCCCCCCGGGGTGCAGTCAGCCAGATGGGGCTGGCCAAGGTGACCGATGGATTTTTATTGCTTGGAAACTTATGTCCAAGGCTTGACAGCTGCTCAGTGGCTCCTGTTTCTTGCATTTGGGATTGTTTTGAACTTCCAAAAAAGAGGCTCCAACAAAAGAGGCTCCTGGCATCTGGATTTTGTGGGATGTTTTAAGAAAAAAGACGGACGGGGGATGTCAGATTTGGAAAAGCTTTACAGGGGATAGAATGGGAGAATTAGACCAGTTTAAATCCTACAAGTGTAATTGAAGTTGGCCGCATAGAGATTCCTTATACCAGTGATGGCTAACCTTTTCTTCCTTGGGTGCCAGAAGCATGCGCGCGCGCTATTGTGCGTGCCAATACCCATAGTGTAATGCTCGTCCTGCGTGTGCAACCCCCTGTGCATGTGTGCGCGACCCCCCCTCTTGTTTCCTATGGGAGGGGCCAATCACCTCCAAGGTGTGGCTTTACTCCCAAGTCGACCCTGCTTTCTGAGTTGTTCTTGTCTTCCGGCAGCTCTGCACATGCGCACACTGGGAACGGGCTCCAGCTGCTCCTCTGCCTCACTGCTGTCTTATCTCCCTCTCTGCCTCCGACGCAGAGCCCACGTCCGAACGGGGAGGGGGGCTTTTGCAATTCAGTCGTTTCAAGAGTGGAAAGTTCTGCTCGTGACTGTAAGAGACTCTGTGCCAAGTTTGACCTTCCCCTGCGTTTGGAAACTATTGACAATGGCAGCCTTCCAAGCGAGATAAGGTCGGTGTTGATAAGTATTCCTCTGAAAGACTGTTTGGACAGGCCTTGTTGACTGTGAATGAAAGGAATTCACAGTCGTGTAAATAAAAAGAGGTTTCGCCGGGACCAAGACTCTGCTTCCTGCTTTTTAGGGAAGCCTAGGTCAGAACAGAAAATGGCACTGTGTACCCCCCAAAAAAAGACTAAGGATCTTTTTTCCTTTCCATTTCCCCGTTCTCATCAGCCAGGATCTACAGCTCCCTCCTTCGTCGCCTTCTCTTCCTGTTCCAGAATAAAACAGGGCCATAAAGCAGACCAATTTACCGGTCTTAATTTGATCGGCTACATAAACTCCCTAATAAAAACTACAAGGGTATCAAGAAAGCCACTGGAGCTGGGTTAAAAGCGTTAACTCAGCTGCCCTGAGTCTTCGGAGAGGGGCGGCATATAAATATAAATTTAAATTAAATTAATTTCATTAAATTAAAGCAACAGGAACCTCTTTCAAGTGGGGGATTCAGACCGGACACACCAAAGGGCAGAAACTGAGCATTTTAAAGCCCCCCCCCAGCCAAATCCTCCCCCCCCCTTTTTTTGGCTATCCCTGGCCATTAGAAATCAAATGTAAATAAATATATGCCGTGTACGCAGTGGCCAGTATAGGGAGTTCTCGGCTTAGAAGCCACAATTGAGCCCAACGTTTCCGTTGTCAAGCAAGGCGGTTGTTAAGCGAATTTCGCCCTCTTTTACGACCTTTCTTGCCCCGGTTGTTAAGGGAATCACTACAGTTGTTTGAATTAATAACCTGGCTGGTTCAGCAAATCTGGGTTCCCCATTGACTTTACTTGTCAGGAGGTCGGGACTCTGCAACCGTCGTAAATATGAACCAGTGGCCGAACATCTGAATTTTGATCACATCACTACAGGGATGCTGCAATGGTTGTTAAGTGTGAAAAAATGGTCGTAAGTCAGTGCCGTTGTAACTTTGCTCACTAAATGAATGGATGTAAGTCGAGGACTACCTCTATAAAGAAATCAGATGCCCTCCTGACAGGTTGGACTTTAATTCCCCCATCACAGTAGCTTGGAGTCCAGCCCAGATGGAAACGGGGAAGTTAACAGATTAAGAGTTGGAAGGGATCTTGGAGGTCATCTAATCCAACCCCCCAGCCTAAGCAGGAGACCCTACACCATTTCTGAGAGATGGCAGTCCAGTTTCTTCTTGAAAGCCTCCAGGGATGAAGCTCCCACAACTTCCGAAGGCAACTTCTGTTCCATGGGTTGATTGTTCTCGCTGTCAGGAAATTCCTCCTTATTTCCAGGTTGAATCTCTCCTTGGTCAACTTTCCATCCATTATTCCTTGTCTGGCTTTCAAAGGTGCTTTGGAAAATAGCTTGACCCCCTTCCTCCTCTCTGGGGCAGCCCCTCAAATATTGGAAGATGCTATCCTGTCTCCCCTGGTCCTTCTCTTCACTAGCTTCAGTGAACTAGACTAGCTTCAGTAAACTTATTTCAGATAAGTGACTCTTCTTAAAAACCTCCAGTGATGGAGCTCCCACAACTTCTGGTAGCAAGCAGTTCCACTGGCTAACGGGATTTTCCGTCAGGAAATTTCTCCTTATTTCCAGGTTGAATCTTTCCATCCATCGTTCTCCGGGTGGCCTCAAAAGTCCCCAGCTAATTCTAGGAATTTAACAAGCGTCCAGAATATTTGCTGACCTTTTGTGGGTAGAGGGAGGGATGGCTTTGATTAAACTCCCAATTATGCCCCCCACACTCCCACCCCCAAAGGAAGCATTCGTGCTGCATAAGCAGTCTTGAAAAGGTGAGTACGGGGGGGTGGGGTGTCTCCGGGAGGTCGGGCACCGAGCAGGGTGAGCAAGATGGCAGGTGGGGATGCAGGTTCCAATTACGCCTATTGTCTTGCGAGATGTGTGCATTTACCGAATCAGGGGCCCTTTGTTTCCAGCCGCCTCTGAAAGAGCAGCAAAACGGAGAGTCTGCCTATCAAAGACAATCCGAGCGGGCAGAGGGGGGGGGAAAATCTTGCCTCAAATTGAATGTTTGGCAGGTCTCTCTGTATGTGTGTGTGAATTCTGGTTGAATTCAATTTTAATTTGACCGGTATTCGTTCAGGGAAAGGGCTGGGTGTTTACATCGTGCCAAGCCATGGATTAATGTATTTATTTATTTGTAAAAATTTACTAGCCGCCCATCTCGCCGCACGGTAAAACTCTGGGCGGCTCAAAATTAGTATTAAAAGATAAAACGGCATTGTTTATAAATACAATACTATAAATCAGTGGTGGGTTTCCAAATTTTTTTTACTACTGTGGGTGTGGCCTGGTGGGCGTGGCATGGCTTGGTGGGCGTGGCTTGTTGGGCATGGCAGGGGAAGGATACTGTAAAATCTCCATTCCCACCCCACTCCAGGGGAAGGATACTGCAAAATCCCCATTTCCTCCCAATCAGCTGGGACTTGGGAGGCAGATAATAGATGGGGGCAGAATTTTTACTACCGGTTCTCCGAACTACTCAAAATTTCCGCTACCGGTTCTTCAGAACTGGTCAGAACCTGCTGAAACCCACCTCTGCTATAAATACTATAAAATCAACTTAGCTAAAATGATGGGGGCAGGGAATATGATGGGGGGGGAGAAGGGGAGTGGTCTGTTGTTAATCAACTACACCCAACATGAAACTCCTTCGTTGGCACCCCCAAGCCAACAGGCAAAAGCCAGGACTTTAAGCTCTTTCAAGTAGGTTTGTGCTGACCTCACTTAATGGTTCACTGAAGATCCTGAAGTGGGATTGACTTATCTTGCATCTCAGAGCTTGGGTTCCCATAGCTGCAGGGTGCTTTAGCACAGTGCCTGAACCCAGCTAGAGCAGGGATCCCCAACAAGGGTGGGCTTCAAAAATTTTAGCAAGGGGTTCTCTGCCCGGTTGCTGGGAGGGTGTGGCCATGGTGGGCGTGGCCTAGTCGGCCTCCTGCACCACGACCGGGGTGGTGGTGGTGGTGGTGGTTTGCTCTCCCCGGGCTCCGGAGGCTTTTCTCGAGCCTCCGGGAGGGCGAAAACAGCCTCCCCAGGCTCCGGAGGCCCTCTGGAGGCCAGAAACGGGCTTCCTGAACTTTCGGTAGGCCTGTTTTTTGCCCTCCCCAAGCTTCCGTATGTGCCTTGCACTTACCCGCATCCAAAATGAGCCGCGTGTGGACTCCGGGGAGGGGAGGAAAGGGGTGGGCGGGGCCAGCCAGTAGTGGGATTTGGAGGTTCTCCGAACTGCACAGAATCTTAGCTAGAGGTTCCCCCGAACCCCTGCGAATCCCCAGCAGCCCACCCCTGGGCCCCAACCCCTGGGCCGCAGCCCACTACGGGGCCTTGACCTGTCCGGAACCGAGCCAGAGAAGTGGTAGGTGAGCCCATGAACATCCCCATTTGCGTGATCGGCATGCGTGTTTGCCCGCCGCTCGTGCAAATAGATCTGTGGGCATGTGCGCACATGCCCATCGCCCATGCACGGCCATCCCTTCTCCCCCCACCCCACCCCCACCAGTCCACAAAGCCAGAAAGGTTGGGGAACTCTGAGGTATTCTTGTTTTCCCTCTTCCCCGTGATTTCCCAAAGACAATCTAGGGCTAAACGTAGAAACTTGACTCTTCCTGCAGGTCCAAAAGGCTTCACCCTGGGACGGCCAAAGGCACCGGGCACCATGGCGACGGCGTCGCCGACAGCCGCCGTGGTGACCGCCACCGTGGTGACCACGGCGGCCGCCATGGACTTGCGCGACTGGATCTTCCTTTGCTACGGGCTGGTGGCTTTTTTGAGTGAGGTGATCGACAGCACGACCTGCCCTTCCGTCTGCCGGTGCGACAACGGTTTCATCTACTGCAACGACCGGGGCCTCACCTCCATCCCGGCTGACATTCCGGATGATGCTACCACCCTCTATCTACAGAATAATCAGATCAATAACGCGGGGATCCCTTCTAGTTTGAAGAAAAAACTGAACGTTCAGGTGAGCCGGACGAGAGGGGACGAGGTGGAGAAGGAGGTTTAGGGGGCAATAATGATTCGGTTTCTGAGGGGCCGTTGAGCTTGGTGGTTTTCCTGCAGACCTTTCATGACCCAACTAGGTAACATCATCAGTGGTAGAAGGGAGTGCAGTTGGAGGAGGAGAACGACCGTGGTCCTTAGCACTCTCTGAGCTTGGTGGTTTCCTTGCAAATGTTTCATGAGCCAATTAGTAACTTCATCAGTGCTAGAAAGGAGTGGCGGTAAGGGAGTGGGAGGAGGAGGAGGGGAGGGGAAGGAGAAGGAGAACAAAGAGGAGGAGAAAGAGAAGGACTGTGGGGTCCTTAGTGCCCTCTGAGCTTGGTGGTTTTCCTGCAGACATTTCATGACCCAACTAGGTAACATTATCAATGCTGAATGGAGTGGAATTTGCTCTCATTTTCTATACCAGTGGCTTGCCCTGTCAGTTGTGGTGGTGGTGGGGTATTCTTGGTGGTTCCACAATTGGGCTGTGGTTTACTGTTAGCTTGCTTGTCTGAGTTGGTAGTTTCTTGACTGGGATATCGGTGGCATTTTATTGGGGTGTGTTAATCTCATGAGCAGAGACTTAACACCAAGATTAACACTGGACCAACAACCAGGAAGCAGTTCTCAAGAGTGGAGAGACAGAATGCTAGAGGCCTTCCGCTCTATCTCCCCGCAAATTTCACTTCTAAAAACAAGGTTAGCTTTGGACAATCTAGAACCCTGCTTATTTCTAACTCAGGAACACTCAAGTCAAGTTTTCTAAATTGGGTGCCCTATAATCTTCTCCCTTTCCACCATGTTGAATGTCCGATTCCTTTGATTCCTGGCAGGTCATCTACCTCTACGAAAATGATCTGGACGAGTTCCCCATCAACCTGCCCCGCTCGCTGAAGGAGCTGCATCTGCAGGACAACAACGTGCGTACCATCGCCCGGGACTCCCTGGCCAGGATCCCTCTGCTGGAGAAGCTACACTTGGACGACAATTCCGTCTCCACCGTCAGCATCGAAGACGACGCCTTCGCCGACAGCACCCGCCTCAAGCTGCTCTTCCTTTCCCGCAACCATCTCAGCAGCATCCCTTCTGGGCTGCCGCGCACCCTGGAGGAACTTCGCTTGGATGACAACCGCATCTCCACCATTCCCCTCCACGCCTTCAAAGGCCTCAACAGCTTGCGGCGTTTGGTGCTGGATGGCAACCTGCTCGCCAACCAGCGCATTGCAGACGACACGTTCAGCCGCCTGCAGAACCTAAGTGAGCTCTCGCTGGTGCGCAACTCCCTGGCGGCCCCGCCGCTCAACCTGCCCAGCGCCCACCTGCAGAAGCTGTACCTGCAGGACAACGCCATCAGCCACATCCCGTACAACACCCTTTCCAAGATGAGGGAGCTGGAGAAGCTTGACCTGTCCAACAACAACCTGACCACCCTGCCCAAGGGCCTCTTTGATGACCTGGACAGCCTGTCTCAGCTCCTGCTGAGAAACAACCCGTGGTACTGCAGCTGTAACCTCATGTGGCTGAGGGACTGGGTCAAGGCCCGAGCAGCGGTGGTCAATGTCAGAGGACTGATGTGCCAAGGGCCTGACAGGGTCAGAGGGATGGCCATCAAAGACATCACCAACGAGATGGACGAGTGCTTTGAAGTCAGCCAGCAGAGTAACTCGGCGGTGGCGGCCAAAACGACGGCCAGCAATGCTGCCGTCACAACCCCGCAGGGCTCCCTCTTCACCCTCAAAGCCAAACGCCCGGGCATCCAGCTGCCCGATTCCAACATCGACTATCCGATGGCCACCGGGTCAGGAGCCAAAACGCTGGTGCTGAACGTCAAACCGCTGACCGCCGACAGCATCCGCATCAGCTGGAAGGCGTCCCTCCCGGCGGCCTCTTTCCGCCTCAGCTGGTTGCGCCTAGGCCACAGCCCGGCCGTCGGCTCCATCACCGAGACGCTGGTGCAAGGCGACAAGACCGAGTACCTCCTGACTGCCCTGGAGCCCAAATCCACCTACATCATTTGCATGGTCACCATGGAGACGGGCAACACCTACATCCCTGATGAGAGTCCCGTGTGCGCCAAAGCCGAGACAGCCGACGTGTACAGTCCCACCACCACCCTCAACCACGAGCAAAACCTGGACCCCATGGCTGGGCTGCCCCTTGCGGGGATTATCGGCGGGGCAGTGGCCTTGGTCTTCCTCTTCCTGGTCATGGCCGCCATTTGCTGGTACGTCCACCGGACCGGGGAGCTGCTGACGCACGAGCGAGGCAGCCGGAAGAAGGACGACTACATGGAATCGGGCACCAAGAAAGACAACTCCATCTTGGAGATCCGAGGGCCTGGATTGCAAATGATCCCCATCAACCCTCACCGGGCGAAGGAAGAGTACGTCATCCACACCATATTCCCTTCCAACGGAACCAGCCTTTACAAAAGTACCCACACAATTGGCTACGGTACAACTCGGGGATACAGAGAAGGGGGCATCCCAGATGTAGACTACGCCTATACATGATGCAAAGGTTTTCCCCTCCTTCCAGATGCATCGCCCCCCCCCCCCGCCCACACCCCACACCCCTCCATTTTTACCCCCTTCCCAATCTCTCTCTCTCACACACACACACAAACACACAAACACACACGGAGATGCACATGCACACAGGTTTGGGCTTGGATCGGTTCTTTGGTTTGGGTGGTTTCATTTTTTTATTTTTATTTTTATTTTTTTGCCGAGAAGGAAAAGAAACGGCGAAACACAGACTTTATATTTTCCGAGCCGAACCCGCTGGAACCGAAGGGGAGGGGAAGGGGAAGCGAATTTTACAAACCAACCTTATTTTGTAGGGGAGGGGAAGAAAACAAAAAACAAAAAAACCACACAGCGTACACAAAAGCAAGTTTTGAAAAGTAGATACGGAGGGGGACAAAAAGACCTAATTTATATTTAATATGCCAGATTTTAAAAAAAAGAAAGAAACGAAAAAGGAGCGATCGGGAGGAACAATCGTGAAGGAACGTTTGGTTTTATTGGGGTTTCGTGGTGGGCCTTTTTTCCCTGCGAGGGGGTAGTGGGGAACAAGGGGGAAGATTCTAGAGGAAGGCAGAAACGACATTGAGGATCAAAAAAAAAAAAAAAAGAAAAGAAAATTGCTACCTGTTTATCTTTCTTCCTGTGTAAATCTTCTATTTTGTTCAGGGGTTAAGATTATAAAAAAAAGAAGAAGAAGAAGAAAAGAAAGAAATATCGACACCCTGATGGCTAAAGTGTCAACTGTCTTGGAGGATGTGTGGAAAGATCGTTCTTGTTTTGCACCCCATAATTCTGCTTTCCTTACAGGTTCTGGATTTATTGTGCAAAATCCGAGAAACAATACAGTTCGGGGGAGGTTCTGCCCCCCCTATTTTTCTTTGGGGGAGGAAGTCCTGAAAAGCCGCTCTTTGTCACAACTCCGAGAACCTTCTCGCTGTGTTCTTCTGGTCAACGCGGCTTTGCAGATAAAGCTCTCCATCGTTACCTCCTTCTTGCACCCAGCTATCTCTTGGGACAGTTATTCGAGACTCGTAGGAATAAACTCACTGTGTAGCTCTTGAGTTTTTAGCAAAAAAAAACAAAAAAACAACGAAAACGAAAAAAAAGAAAGAAACTGATGTGTGAAGATGGGACAGGCCAGCAGCGTCTTCCAACCAGCAAGATAATCAAACCTTCCATGGGTGGGGGGGTGGGGGAATGGGGGGAGATGAGGGGCTCTGAATTCCCAACGAATCTCAGGTTCACAGGTGAATGGTTTTCAAGATGTTAAGGAAAGGGGGAGAGGAAGTGGGGGTTTTTGTGGTCCAAAGCCTTTGGCGTCCGCTCAAAAGACCAGCCAGGTTGTTCTCGTTGGCAGTTTCCCAGGATGGTTCAAAAGTCTTAACCCTCAGTATTCTCTAACTTGGGGAGGGATTTAAAGAAGTCCTAATTGTAGATCTAGAGATCCGTGATAGTTGCTGTGATCTCCAGGCCACCTGAACTGCAAGGATCCCGTCTCTTCCATCCAACTGTGGGACTCGTCAAACCGAACGTCACAGCCGCTTTCTCGCCTTTGAAGTTCTCGCGTTAGGAAGAGGAGCTTCAGGCGAGGGGAAACCCCACCTGGGGCTGCCATTTTCTCAATTGTACCACCCAATTTGGACCTCTCTCGGATGCAGGGCAGGGGCTCGGTTTTTTTTTCTCCAGAGCGAATCCAGAGGCTCCAAAAAAAAAAAAAATGCAGAATTACTGTAGGAAAAGAAGATCAGGAAGCTGAAAAACCGGTTAGATTCAAAACAACTGGCTATCGTGGGAAGGGTGGGGGAACTGCTTTATAATGAGGTTGCAGTGAGGAAGATGCTGGAATTGGTGAAGTTGAGAGCGATGGATTAAAGAGCAATCCAAGATTCAGAGTTATCTGTCAACACTTCGCGGAATAAGGGAAGGGACCTTGGAAGTCTTCTAGTCCAACTCTCCTGCTCAAGCAGGAAACCCTGCTGGCGAACCGTGATGGCGAACCTGTGGCACGCAAAGCCCTCTCTAGGCACATGCGCTGTCGCCAGCTGCTCTTCTGCTTTTTGGCACGCCAGCCAGCTGGTCTTCGTGGCCGCCGGAGCACCGGAAAATGGCCAAAAACCAGGCCACTTTCCGGCCATTTTCAGGGCAAAAACGACCTGAAAATGGTCCAGAAAACGGCCAAAAAAAATGACCCAAAAAACAGGCATGTGCGCGCCAGCCAGCTGGTTTTCAGCTTTCCGGTGCTCAGGCGTGCACAAAGACCAGCTAGCATGCGCACATGCATGTGCCAGAAACCTCAGCTGGTCTTTGGGTTTCCGGCGCTCTAACGTGCGCACATACACGTGCGTTCCGATTTGGGCACTCGGTGCCCAAAAGGTTCACCATCACTGCCCTAGACCATTCCAGATAAATATACCATTTCAGACAAAGTGGCCACAAAGTGGGACAAAGTACTTGCACGTTGGCTTGACCTGTTGGATTTCGTGCGCACCGCTGACGGGCTGACCTCCGAGAATGGGCCACGCACACGTGCAAGGCTCTTGAATTTGGGCTTCTAGCATTGCCGGGGGAGATTTTTAGTTGTGCAGAGGTGGCCAAGGACAATTAGGGAGGAGCATGGAAAGCCAAGGCTAAAACAGGCTGATGGACTGCTGCTCTGAGTCACTGTAGGGACTGACCTTGGTTCTGACTAAGCCCCAAGATGGCCTTTCCTGATCTACAGGTGGTCCTCGACTTACGACCACAAGGGAGCCCCAAATTTCTGCTGCTGAGTGAGACGCGCGTGAAGTGAGTTTTTGCTCCGTTTCACCACTTTTCTTGCCGCCGCGGTTAAGGGAGTCGCCGCAGGTGTTTAAGGTAGTCACACGCTGTTAAGCGAATCTGGCTTCCCCGTTGACTTGGCTGGTCAGAAGGGTCGCAAAAGGGGATCGCGTGACCCTGCGACCATCGTAAAGATGAGTCCATTGCCAAGTTTCTGAATTTCGATCATGTGACCGTGGGGGACGCTGAAACGGTCGTTCAGTGTGAAAAACGGTCCTAAGTCGCTTTTCCCAGTGCCATTGTAACTTCGAACGGTCATGAAATGAATTGTCGTAAGTCGAGGACTACTTATACTATCTCCAGATGTTTTCAGATGGGGCTTAAACTCAGCATTCCTAGCGCGCCTGGCCAAATTCTCGAGATGTATAACCCAACATATCCAGAGGGTTAGAAATGGCTGGTAGAAAGCAGTGAGGGGAGAAAGGACAGACAGAGAGAAACCAAGAGAGAGAGAGAGAGAGAGATTTTGAATGAAGGACAAAATAACCACTGCGGTCTCAATGAAAAGGGATTCTTTCGCCATCTCTCCCCGCCCCCTCCCACTCGGAAAATAATAATGCAATGCATAAATGAGAATTGGCAGAGAAAAATGCCAAGGGCGCCCATTGGGCAAATGAGGACCACTCGTTTCTATAGGAAATGAGTATCACAAAGGTCGTTTCCAGGCAGACGTGGGTTGAAGGTCCCTGTCAGCCTTCCCACGTGTCCTCGGATGGTGGCATCTAACCAGCTTGCAAAAAAAGGTGGCTCTAAAATAATCAGCGCTCCCTTGACAAATTAAATCCAATTAAGGTGTCATTTAAAAACACACAGCCTGTGGGAGGAGGAAGAGGGAACACCCTTGGGTGAATACAAGGCTGCAAATTTTCAACACCCCCCCTTAAATTTCAAGTCAGTGGAATTAAGTAGCTGAGTGGAGACTGAGAGGCAATAAAATCTGGGTTGGGAAGGAAACTTTTCCCCTGAGAATTGCCTTCGTCCCAAGGCTTCCCTGACAGGCTGATATTCCCAAATAGTGACAACTGTTCTGGGGAGGAGAGGAAAAACGACCACCTCCACAAAAATGTTAAGCACCGTCTGAAAAATTTAAAGTGACATGGAAGGGAAGAGAGGGAAAAAAACCCATAAAAATTCAACTGATGGGGGGGATATAATGGGAGAACAAGCATTTCGGCCCCATTTGCTCCTCAGGGGAGTGGGGCACCTCTGTCTCCCTCGATCACAATTGCCCACGTTCAGAAAATGAGGAGAGGTCCAAAGGCAGCTTTAGCGGATGCCTACATCGATTTCCCCTCTTCAATTTGCAATGCTTTGTGTATGACTAGGACAGGAGTCTCCAAACTTGGCAATTTTAAGACTTGTGGACTTCGACATCCAGAATTCTCCAGCGAGCTGGGGAATTCTGGGCGTTGAAAGTCCACAAGTCTTAAAGTTACCAAGTTTGGAGACCCCTGGTAGGACTCCAATGGGCTCCTGGTAGCTTATAATATTCCTTCTGCAATTTTTTTCCAAAGGCAATTGGGCTTTTCTTGTTTTGTTTTTTTTCTTTGAAAACATTTCCCTTGTCATCTAAGAAGTTTCTTCCATTCTAACTGGTGGGGAATGGAAGGGTGTATGTATGTATGTATGTATTTTTCTCTCAGCCGGGTTTTTTCTTACGTAAATCAAGATCTTTATACAGCCATAACTCAGTGAAATCCCATTCACTAGTTTCTAGGCTTTTTCAGACATCAAACCAGCATTTTGCTGTCTATTGGGAGACTAAAGGGAGACTAAGATAGATCTATTTCAGACTAATTAGTCCTCATCAGTTAGCCACACCCTCATCTCATGTCTCCTCCCCGTAAAGGTCAAATATTTATTTTCTTCTCTTTTTCTAGGCCTTTATGTATATTTTTCTCTCAGCCAGGTTTTTTCCTACGTAAATCAAGATCTTTATACAGCCATAGCTCAGTGAAATCCCATTCACTAGTTTCTAGGCTTTTTCAGACATCAAACCAGCATTTTGCTGTCTATTGGGAGACTAAAGTCTTAGTCTATTCTTAGTTTCCCTACGTTTAGTCTCCCTCCCTATGTTTTTCTTTTAGCCAGGTTTCTCCTAAGTAACCAAGATTTTTCTTTCTACAGCCCTAGCTCAGTGGAGTCACATCCACTCGATTCTGGGCTTTTTTTTTTTTCTTCTTCTGGCAGCCAGCAGGCCCTATGCTGCCCTATGCTGCCTAGTGAGAGACTTATATAGATCTATTTCTGGCTCGTTAGCCATCATCAGTAAGCCACACCCACATCTCATGTATCCTCCCTGGTACAATATCTATTTTCTTAACTTTTTTCTTCCTTTTCGTAGGTTTTATGTGTGTTTTTCTTTTAGCCAGGTTTCTCCTACGTAACCAAGATTTTTCTTTCTACAGCCCTAGCTCAGTGGAGTCACATCTACTCGATTCTGGGCTTTTTTTCCCCAGAATTTGGAAATATATATATATTTCCAAAGGAGAAAAAAAAAAAAAACCCAAGAAAGTTCATTTACCTTTTGGGAAAAAACACCTTTGGGAGAAGCATAACCTGAATCGGGAGGGTCTCTAAACTTGGCCACTTTCAGACTTGTGGACTTCAACTCCCAGAATTCCTCTGGCTGGGGGATTCTGGGAATTGAAGTCCATCCATCTTAAAAGCGGCCAAGGTTTGAGAAATACCGCTGTAAAAAAGACAGGTATCCATTCACCGCCTTGCCAAGCCAATGATTCGGTTTTCAAGATGTAAGCAGCCCCCACCCCCACCCCCCCAAAATAATGTGGGTGAAGAAGATGAAGGGATCCAGGGAAGTTCTATCGGGAAGAAGAGGAGGCTGGGTTGTTTTAAACACCCTCGGTGAGGAAAACACACAAACAAGCCGAGAGGAGGAAGATGGAGAAGAAATGGCTGCAGGCTAGCTAATATTTATCCGCTAAGCATCGCATTGCATAATCAAGGCCTGGGACCTAAGGTGCTGCTCTCACCTCCTGCGAAGTGTAATTTTATTAAGTACTTAAACTCCGTACCCGGCACTTCACAAACTGAGATAATGTGAGCAGGCTCTTGGGGAGCTGGCGTTTAGCACAAGGCGAAGTCGAAATAAAATAAAATAAAATAAAATGTAAAAAAAAAACCCTCCAACCCATGCTTCCCCTCCCCCCTCCAAAAATGCCTCTTCCTCTCTCTCATTAATTCAGGTGATTTGACAAGGTGCTGGTATACGCCGGTGTTGGCCGTGGCAAGCGATTTTGCAGCTCGGCTTGTAAAGTTTGCATTTTTATTTATTTTTGTTTTGAAAACAGCAAGCTAGAGAA